AAAATATTATTTCATTTAAATATTTATAAAAATATTACATCAACTATATTTATTATATATTATTTTAATACTTGTGTTTGATTTTATTTTACTTATATATATATATATTATTTTTTATTTTTATAACTTTAAAATATTTTGTAAAAATAATAATTAAAGTTATTTTTAAATATATATTTAAGTTGAACAGAATTTAAAATAATTTTTAAAGTAATAATTAAATATGTAAATTAAGAGATAAATTATTAAAGTTTAACATATTTGTATTTGTTAATGAAATAAATTTTTTATTATAATATAAAAGGAGAGAAAAATATAATATTTAAATTTCTAAAAAGATGTTAAATATATTTTAATAATAATTTTTTTAATGAAAATTAATAGAATTTTTTAAAAAATAGAATTAAAAAAAATAAATTATAATTTTTAACACAAGAGAAATGAAGAATGTAATATTAATATTTTTTTTTGAAAAAAAGGTAATTTACTGTATTATATATTTCACTGGGCTTCAAATAGAAAAGAATTAAGTCAAGTCCTCGGAACAATAGTAATTAAAAAGTTACAATTAATATAACAGTTTGAGAAAAATATAAAATGATCTGATAGAGTAACCTAATTTTCATTTTTTTAATATATGTATAATTATATTATATTATATTTTATTCTATTTTAGTGTGAATACATTTTTTATGAACAATTTTTTTTCTATAATTTCAGTGTCATGAATAACTTTTGAGTTTATTTATTGACTTTGAAATTTTGAAAGACGAATCAAATTTTAGCGTCCATAATAATTAGGGTGTTTAAAATATAATTTAATTTTCTTTAGTGGGGATAGGTTGAAATAATATGCACTCGATTTTAATTTTGAATTTGTCATCTTTTTAATTCGTATAGATAAAAAATATATAAAAAGAACTACTAAAACAAACTACTTTATAATTATTTATTCTTGTTAAAAGATTTATTTATACAAGTGGGAAAGAGATACTAAGTGACTAACACTATAATTTAAGAAAATAATACAATAGGTAATTACTTAAAAGTGTATGAGAAATTTACGTGAGAAATTGTGAAGTAAAAGAAAGGGAAAAAAATAAATAAAATTAAAAGAGATAGTTATAAAGATAAAATACTTCAAAATTTATATACACTAAAAAGTAATATCTCTTTTATTATTTGTATCAATTAAAATAAATCAAAATACAACACATTTATTCTTTAAAAAAAATATAGTCTTCGAATTTATTAGATAAGACAAGGTCTTAAAATAATAAATTTGAATTTAATTTAATCATATAAAATCAATTTATAATAAGAAATTATTTTTTACTTATATATTATATAATTATTTAATTTTTATACTTGATGCGAAACTTTGATTTTTTCCATTACAATAAAACTTAATGGCATGTGAAGAATGAAGATCCCTTCCCTATAAAAGTTATTGATCCCATCCAATTTGGTGCAGAAGACATATTTCTCAAACTAGTTGGGAAAAAATTGAAGTATATACACATCAAATTGTAGCTTCTCTGTAATATTATGGCGAACAAAATGAGTGTAATGTTTGTCATGGGGTTTTTCATCATAAGCCTCATCTCAGTTACATCTGCAATTTCTGGAACTGCCACTTATTACACAGTTTACAAACGTGAGTAGCAAATATTCGTTCTGCATGCGTGCGTAGCTATACTATGGATTATATATTTTCTATCCTTTTTCTGGTTATATAAGTTTTCTGGTTTGCAATATGGTAATCCTAAAAAAATTGATGTAATAGGTTAAAACTTAGAACCTTGTTTTTGTGTATATTATCTAAATTTTTCGTTATTAATTTGACCAATCGTAATAGTTTATTATTATATAAAATGCATCTTAACTATTAGACTATGACATGATTATGATTCGACCTAACACATAATTAACGGGGCAATTTTTTTTTCTTCACATTTTTCTCCCCAAACTTTTGTAATTGATCTATATATGTATATATACATATACACATGCATATGCCTTTTTTCATATATCATACATTAAAAGCATGTTTTCGATGATATTATTTACTTAATTCTCATATATTTTTTATTAAGCATCACCCAAAAACTTGTAACAATAATAATTATGTATATTTTATAAATTTATTTATTTTAATGATATAAAATTTTATTTGTATCGAACAATAATGTGTATCGAGTCTTTTAAAAAAGTTAAAAACAAGTAAATTAATTCTTAATTATAAAAAAGATTAAATAATTGTCCTTTTCCTACGAGAAAACTTCTTAGGAATAACCAAGGGAGAGAGTTACCTTGAGCTTTGGGTGTATAATTTATTTATTTTGTAATATTTTTATAAAATAAAATTTAATGTTTTATGATTTACTTACTTATTTTAATGATTTTTTTTTTTCTGTTTTTGGTCATTATAATTAAATTTTTCATGAAATGCAATCAGAATCTCACATCAATATAAGGATAAATATGATTTACTTACTTATTTATATTTTTTTTATCAATAGAGAAAAAAATACATGAACAGCAAACTGACAACAATAATTGAACGTAAATCTTTGTGCGCTTCTTAGTACTTCAAGCTTATCGATTCTGAGACGATAACATGTTAAATTACATATATATGATTAAACGAAGACGATAACACAGTGAATTATACTAATTTGCAGCATCTGCATGCTACGGGTACCAAGAGGAGGGCACAATGATAGGTGCTGCAAGCGACGCATTGTATGCGAATGGGGCTGCATGTGGTAAAATGTATAAGATCACATGCACAGGTCCTACCAACCAAGGTGTGCCTCAACCATGCAAGGGTGGGAGTGTTACTGTCAAGATTGTGGATCGTTGCCCTTCCCCCGCTTGCAAATCCACCATTGATCTCTCCCAAGAAGCTTTCTCTGCAATCGCTGACCTCAATGCTGGAAAAATTAACATCGACTACACCCAGTAACTACTTTCATTTTCATCTCAATTTCCATAACTTATTAGATACTTTAAGACTTGATTTCAGACTCTCTGCATAACATTCTTAATTTGTCATTCATATATGTTAAATTCACTGGGTAGTATACTCAAGCCTAATCTACCAATTTATTTATGTAACTGACTATGTTTCTTTGCCATGTGTGGTTAATTATGTTTCAGGATGTGACGCTCGCTCGTAGGAGAAATCAATAACCCTGCTCCTTCTGTCTGCATGCAGAGCTATTGAACTTACATTATATATTGTACTAAATAAATTTGAATAACTCTATGAGATGTGTGTGATGGAAAAACAAAAACTTCTTCCATTGCAACTGTTGTATCGATAAAATGTATACGATCTAGTAACACTGGACCCCATATCATTTGGTCTCTTTGTTTATTGACTCGATCAGAAGTTTTAGAATTGGCAGTAATTAATTCGTAGTTATTTTCTGGTAATAGATAATAAATAAAAATTAGCTATATAAGAAATAATTACAAAATATCAAAATAGTTAGACAAAATCCTAACTACTTTGTAGATAATTTTTATTTTTTTTTAACTGTGGTTAATTTCTAACTCGGGAGAAGTAGTACCTCAGGAAATGTTGGAGTTGTTCTCTAATTAAAATTATAATTTTATTATGATAATTAATGTTAATCTGAATTTAGTAAGTTACCAGAGTGAAATTCTACTTTTGTCTAGGAGAATAATATCAAAATTATCATATTTTCATAATAAATTTTGAGTTTGGCAAATTTGAATTTTGAAAGAATGTTAAAGTATGAAAGAAGAAAGAATTGAGTCTACAAAGTTAAACAATTGCATAAGTATATCCCTTATGAGCCTTGTTGAGAAAAAAAAAATTGAGTGAAAAAATTGAAACTTAATTAAATCATTCAACATGTTTCAATGTACTACTAACTAGATTTAATAATACTATTGATAGGAGAAAAGGCTCACGGTAGTGAGCTTATTTGCATTCATTTCTTCCTAGACTTACAAACATCATTATTCAACTTGCATTTCAATTTATTTTATCTTGTTCCACACACTTGGGATCAATCAACTCTATTACATTCCCATTCTACCATACACTACAATTGGGCTTCTAACTTGATGACTACCATCATCCCAAATCAAAGAAGCGGAAATTATATCCAGATTAGTTATCCCTTCAATTATGAGTGAGAATGACTTTTTCTGTCCAATAGACGTGAAGGAAAGAGTACTAGGTTTCACTTGAATTTGTAACAAAGGTGAAGCAATTACACGGGCTTTATAAGTAGCCGTTGCTGATCCAACATTTGTAACTGTTCTGAAGTAAGCACGACTAAAAGTTGAGTGGTTCGTAAAAAGAGCAAATGATGGGAGGTTTAATTCGTATACCGCTCTCTTACTAGCTTGTACTTTGCAACTACTATGATCTTTGGTGAGGTTTCGAAGCATTTCATCTGTATACCCTTCTCCACATAAGAATTTGATATAATCAGCTTCACTAATATCATATACTAAACCAGGATTTGCAGCCTTAACAGGATTAATTAGGCCCGCTCCATATGCAAATTCAGCCTCGGGATTAAGAACATGACTCATTGGAGTAGCTATCATTAAAATGCAATAGAGATGGTCAAATTTCGCTAATTAATTAGATGACATTAACAATAAATTAAGAATAATGTAGAAACTCTAATTGTTGTGTGTAATTAGTTAAAGAGAAGTGCTAAAAATGCAGTTTGATACATTTTTTTTATTAGTTAAAATTTATTGACAACTACAAAAGTAGAAGTAAGAATTATTAAATAAAGAATGAGATTCATTAAATTTTATTATTTTTGATAAATTTTTACTAATAAAAAATATGTTAAAAAGAGTGTGATATCTAATGTAATTTTAATAAATCAATCATAATGTGTTAAAATAACGTATATTATTAATATTTCTCTCTCGATTATACAAACGTACTTATATCTTAAAAGAATTATGTTAGTATATTGTAATTTAAGTTTTTTTAAATATTCTCAAGGTACACGTTATTACTAATTTTGCAAAGTTATTAGACTCATTACCAGTAGTCATCAACGCAGACTTGATCATAGCAGGAGACCAATTAGGGTGAAATGATTTGATATATGCAGCTGCTGCAGAAGCATGAGGGCATGCCATTGAAGTGCCAGAGATTACATTATATTGTACTTTTCTTTTGTCTCCTTTAACATCTGAAATTGGGCTAACTGGAGACCATGCAGCTATAACTTCAACTCCAGGGGCAGCAATGTCAGGCTACAGTATCAATAATGAGAATTTGATATATTATTTAAAGATGGCATTGTTCTGGATTATATGACACATTATATTTAAGGTTACCTTTAGAGTATTCGGTGTTATTGGATTTGGACCTCTTGATGAGAACGAAGCTACGAAAGGAATTAATCCATCGTTTATTTCTTCACTCTTAAATATTGTGGCCGTAGCATTTCTAGCAATTGGTAGAACAACAAATGAGAAAATGTTTTAATTCAATATAGATTAAAAATTATTTAATAAAAATTTTATTTTTGAATAGATTTTAAATTTAATTATGACATCTCTTTAACATATTTGGTAGGATAGATCCTTGAAAGAAAAAGAAAAAAGTAAATCTAAATTTCAATGAAATATTTATTATTGAAAAAAAATTCAAGTCTCACATCGTTTATAAATAAAATAATTTAAAAAATATATAAGTAGAAGATAATTCTAAGATGATATTAAAACTAACTAGATCTACTCTAAAAAGATCACTTAACAACATTGATATATACAGGCACCAAGTCCAATAGTATTGGACGTGAGATAGTATATTGAAAAAAACACAAATCTTGCTTACCCTATATCATTAAAAGTGATCATCTAGAATATATCTACATATCAAGTTCAATAGTACTGAATGTAAGGGAATGTATTGAAAAAAAAAAATCAGATCTCATATTAATCAGAAATAAAACAATTAAAAAAGCATATAAGTGAGAGACAACCTTCATCTTACAAATCTGTTTTATAACTTAATTTAGGCTTATAACTTACTTTCTAAAATGGTATTGGAGTATATCAACGTCTATATCCTAATTATTATATATTATTGTGGGCTTATTAGATCACCCATTATCGAGTGTTATTAAACCATCTTCAGATGTTCACTTCTCGACACGAAGGAATGTGTTGAAAATCTCATATCAATTAGGAATAAAGTCATAATAGTATATATAAGAGGGAAGTAATTATTACTTTACAAGTAAGTTTTATAAATTTGAGTTAAACTCTTAATTCATTTTTTAAGATGATATCAGAGTTATCTAAATCTACTCAAAAAGAGTCACCAACCATTTGATACACCCTTCAAGTCCAATAATGCTAGGTGTGAGGGGTGTATCAAGAAAAACTCAAGTCTTTCCTATCATTAATCATTAAAAAAGGTTGTTCATCATTTATTCACGTATCAAATCCAATAGTATTTGTTGTAAGTAATATTTTGAAAAAAAATTCAAGTACCATATTGACTAAAGATAAGGTACTTAAAGATATAAGTGGGAACAAATCTCACTTTACAAGCTAATTTTGTAAGGTTGATTTAGACTTCTAACCCATTTTCTTTATATTTATTGTTTGAAACCAACAAAAATATGAAAAAGAGAGTTATTTTTAATGTTTAGAATGTTTTTCTCTAAACTAGGTAAAAATCCTTGAAAAAGGATTTTTTTTATTATAATAACAAAAACGTCCTTGTTTAGAGTTGTGTTTTATTATATATTTTATAAACTTAAAATGTTATTTAACAAAAATGTTTTCCTTATTCTATTTGACAAAGTCGTTAGGGTTAGCTTAAGGATATTTTTCCTAAATAGACATGTAGGCATCGAGTTTTGTCCGGGCTTTATCTACAAGGGTCGGGAGACTTCTAAGATAAGAGAAGCAACCCAAGGAGTTGAAGAAAGGTACCAAGACGGAGCACGAATATCCGAGAGGTATTTCTACATAAAAGGGTCAAAATCCTAGTCCTAAGCTTGGAACGACCGTTCCTAGAGGCAAAAAGATTGTTCCCCTTCTTTGCATGTGTGGCCTTGAACGACCGTTCCCCTTTGCACAAAGTAGTGCATTTTTGGTTTGTGGAATAGTCATTCCAAATTGGGAACAACCGTTTCCCTTCCCTGGACGCCTATAAAAGCGTGTCAAGGGTCCATTCTTAGGGCACACTTCATTCTCTCCCCTCTCTTTGACTCTTTTTACATTACTCTGAGTGAAATAAACTAATTGCAGTGCCTAATTAAGAAATCTCTGGTCCTTTTGACAGAAATTTCGGAGTCTCTAATTAAAAATTTTGAGCATCAATGAGGTCTTATAGAGTGTGGAGTCTACCAAAAAGCACTCATAAACAACTTTACAAGAAATTATGTATATAAAAAAGTAGAGCTGTCAAAATGGGCTCAGCCCGGTGAGCTAACCTGTCCCACCACGGGTTCGAGCCGGGTTGGGCAAAATAAAAATTGAAAATTTCAATACGGACCAATTTTGAACCCGGCTCACTAACAACCCGGCTCACCCGGGTTGAACCCGTGGTGAGCCGAGATGACCCACCAACCCGTTAAAAAAAATTATGCTTCATCTTTCAGTTTATTGGGCCCAATTGCCCAAATGAGCATTATAGTTTGAATTATATTTTAATTATTGGGCCCAAAAGAGTATTTGAGATGATTTTGAATTAATTTGTTTACATGAGATTATTTGGATTTTATTTGATTGTATTTAGAATTATCATTTAATTATGATTTTGGGCTTTAATTGTATATTAAAAAATTACATTTTTTTTAAATTAGGTGAACCAACCCGTTTAACCCACCAACCCGTGGTGGGCCAGGCCGGGTTACCCGTTTTGACAGCTCTATAAAAAAGCTTACTTCAGAGGCTCCAACTTCTTTCCTATTATTTATTGTTTTATTTAGTGATTTTCTTGTATGCAATAGAATAGACATCATATAGATAATAAAGTAATATGTATGTAATAGATTAGGAGTAATGTAGACATAAATTGTTATGTATGTTTAATAAATAGAAGTGAAAATTTAATTACGTTGTTATAATATTAAAATTGTCATAAGATACCAAGTTCAGACATTATAGGATACCTAATACCTTTCCCACACATAACCGACCTTCAAACTTGGCTTTGACTGTGAAGGCCAAAGTCAAATTTTTAAAATCTATTTTCTTTACCTGATGTTTTATGCAAAAAGACATTCCAAAGTTGACGAGATTTTCAAACAGAGTTTCAAACCATCTGTCAATTAAGTCAATTGCATTTTTTTGGAAATACTAAGAATTTTTCAGTGGATTCTAAAATATTGATCTATACCTGGTTGAAGTTATGTAAGAATGGATGAGTCTTTGGTTCCATGGAGAAAGGATCGCAGCAGGCAGGACAAATGCACTGGCCGAATCTTGAGGGCTATTACTTCCCAATATAACACCAACTGCCCCAATCCCAGATAAAGAATCGATGTCTGTACCATGAGTTATTTCACACAGAACAATCTTTCCCTTCACTGAATCTTTATCCAAAGAGTTCCGTATGCAATACCTGAGCAATAACGTAAGAAATTGAATATTTTCCCCCTTTTCTTAAAAACACACAACCAAGAAATTAGAGAATTCATTTGGTGATACCTCGATGTGGAGCTGTTATGTCCACCAGCAATGTTGGGTATATCTCCACCGTAAATAAGTGGATACAATTTTTTCTTAAGATTAAATGTGTTAATTGAAACCCCCTGTACATAGGTAGAACCTCCATTAAAGTTAGCCTTGTTTCTTTGAATATTTCAAGTCAATTAATTAAGATGAATTCAATTAAATTTATATATCACGACTCGGACTTCATAGTTGATTCGGGTAGAAATAGGCTTATCTCTCTAAGTAAATTTTTAATTCATATAAAAGAAATGTGATTTGAAAAAAAAATCTCTATTAAAAATAACCGATCAATTTTTCAATAGAAATTAATCTCATGTGTCGCATCGATATGTAACAGAATTTAGAATATGTATATATATAAGAGAATATATATATAAGAGAAATGATATATACCTCATAAACAGCTCCATTGCCCAACTGCACCTTGGTTACAATCTTCCTGTCAAAAGAGCTAGCCGCCACCGAAAGTAACCAGGGTGCTAGATTTGACATAGAGGAAAAAGACGGACCCTCATTACCGCCAGAATTTGACGTTAAGATGCCTCTTTTCATTGCATGGAAACTTCCTATATGGGTGGGATCTTGAAAATACGGAAAGTAGTGTACAATACGTGGTCCTATTGAAATAGAAATAATGTCTACTCCATCAGAAATAGCTTCATCAAATGCTGCAAGAATGTCATCATCATGGCAATGTTCTTTCCAACATACTTTGTAGACAGCAATTCGGGCAGATGGAACTCCTCCGCGGGCAGCCCCTGAAGCTAACCCAAATAGACTCACTGAGTTAACTGAATTTCCGGCCACTGTCGATGCACAGTGTGATCCGTGACCTTCAGCATCCCTGGGAGATATTATATCCTCTTTCGCAAACTCGTGTTCCAGATTGAAGTACTTTGCGCCAATTATTTTGCTGCACATAGTTTAATATTGCCTTACTTTTTGACAAAGTCAAAACTAATTATATCATGTATATATCAAAAAAAATATGAATAACAAATAATTGAACCACTGCAACAAAATTTAATATTATCAATAATTATTTAATAATAATAAATTAATTATTTTTATTTTATTATCTAATAAAAATATTAACAATTAATATATAATAGTCACTAAAAATGTATTTATATCACATCAAAATTTACTATTAATAATAATTATTTATTAGAAAAAATTTAAATCTCATATCGATTAAAAATAACAAAATTAAAGAATATATAAGTAGATAATAACTCTCATCTTATAAGTTTATTTTGTAAGATTGAGTTAAACTTATAACTTACTATCCTACGTGAGTATTAGATTACTTACTATTATCAAACTGAATAGTCTTAAATTTGAGAGAGTGTATTGAGAAAAACTCAAATCCTATTATAAATCATTTTTTAAATTTTTATATACTTTTCCCGACCATTATAAGAGTAGTGAAAAAATTGATAAAAGATTTTATAACAATTTTTATTGTCACTAAAAATTCATTTTATTATAGTGAATACAAATAAAATATCATATCATTTGAATAAGAGAATTGTGTTTTTATAAAATACACACGTAACATTTCATTGATATGACATCTTTATAGTGATGATTAAATCAAAACAAGTTACAAAATTATATTAATGTAAAAATATGTACATGTCAATCCAACGATATGTAAGACTAAAATAAATTTTAAAAAAAATTGTTTTTTAAATAATAAAGGTATATTTTAAATCTTCCGACAAATATATAAAGTCAATTTTCACAAATATATGATGTCTTTTTATAATAAATGTGACCTTTTTACTTTATAAAAATTAATTAAAAATATTATTTTTGTTAATAGACTTAAAACTTAAACTTTTAACAGTTTTATCCTTATGTCGGTATTGATTATGACTAAAATGTCCGTTGCACATATATACAAAATTATATTAATGTGTGGATGATTAGTAAAGTTATGAAAGTGATTACTTGTTGCAGGTAAAGTTATGACATGATCCTTTCCATCTGCTAGGTGGAGGACCAAATCCTTTGCCACTAAAGCTCTCAGACTCCGGCCAAATTCCCGAGTCCAGTACTCCCACAATTATGTCACTCTCTCTAGTTTCTCTTTTGACATTCTGGGGAAAGTCTATGAAGTTCCAGGATCTTGTTGTGTGAAGACTCTTCTTGGAGTTTGGGAAAACTGAGATAACGTTCTCCATTTCTATTGCAATTCCAAATTAGGTTTACAGTGTGCTTTATCTTCCATATAAACATGTATATAATGAATAATTAAGTTATAGAGGTGTAGAAAGGAGATTATATATGGTACCTGCCGTTCTTTCAGCCTCCTCTTCTGTTAACTTCATGACGAATGCATTAAAGTTCTTGTAGCTGTGAAGTAAGGCTTCTGGTTTGAAATCGCTGGATGCATACATGCACATTTGGGTAGTCAATGTTATAATATATTATATTGTTCTTTTGGATAAGAATCAGAAATAATAAATCTAGCTTTATTCAGTAAGGAAGATATAAGATGTGCAATTTTAAGAAATTGTGAATTATGATACAAACCTGCCAAGAACTTTTTGAGCCATGGCCGTATGAAGAGAAGGTATAGAAGTGGAGTCCATGCCCTTAGGATGATCTCCCATGTAGACAATGTAAGTCTGTATTCAGAAAATGATATCATAGGAATAGTTAATTAAATTAGTAAGCTAGAAAAGATGGAAACAGCATGAGAAAAATATATATAAGTGGGTGTTTGCCTTGCGAACATTCTTGGAATGTGCATGATTAATTATCGAAATGCAGAGAAGAATGAAAAAAAGGCATGGCCTTAAAGAGGCCATATTTGCCACTCCTATGAGATCAAAATGCCTAGCAGATCCAAAAGTTTTAGAGAAGCTAAATGTGTGTGTCTTTTGCCAGTTACACAGATGAGTATTTATGGTGGAAGCGTGGAAAAAAATGTCACTTTATTTTAAATTAAAAAATTTAAATACATATCATATCCGGTAGAGATTCATTTGTTCCATGTACTATACTACCTAACTAGTAATTTTTGTACAAGCACTAACTTTAACAAAAATTCAATACAGTTAAAATTTATGGTTTAGAATTCATGGTTCAAAAGAGGGGGGAAAAAGTTGAATTAAAAAATACAATCTATTGAAAATGAACGATATGTTTATCATATATTGATATAGGGATGAGAGAAAATTTATTATGAGAGATGAGAAGGTTAAAATATACTCCGTAACCCTTAGATTAATTTTACAAATCCCTAAATTTCAACGTATTAAGTAAGAGAAAATTAATCTAAGGACTAATATTTTAGTCCCTCTCATCTCTCATAATAAATTTTCTCTCACTTGATAAACTCCCTATTTATAAGAGTCTTTCTTGTATCAACTCTAGTGGATGATTCTTTACAGAGTTGCAATTTAGTATGAAAGTACGTAGTAGCTCAGAAAGCAACGAAGTAGTTACTTATGTATGAAAGACGATATATATATATATAT